AGTGGCCAAGACTTAGAGAAGTTCTTTATCTTTAGTAGCGATTACATTGTGAAACTGTTTTAAGAGTAATTTTCCAAATGAAAATTTTGCTCTGTTATTGTTTGATCTTCTCCAGAGTGGAGTCATAAATAGAGTTTGAGGGGCAGATATGTTGAACCTTTGGAAGCCTTGACTCAGATCTGACTATATCGCCATATATTAGACAAACTGTATTAATCATGTATAGATTTTTTGTTTCTTTTATGCTATTAGTTTCTTTTGTTTCTTTTTTTCTTTGCTAGTATTAGATTAAGATTTTTATTCATAATTGGAAGACATAGTTATAAATTGCTTTGGATTATAGCAGTGCAGTTATGATTCTGATAGGTAGATTATTTAAATTATATTTAATGAACAACTAGTCTGAAGTAGAGAATCATGTATTTCAAAAAATTTGAATGTCAAAATTCCCATGTCAAATTATTTGACGTAAATTAATAATGATATTTCCTTTCAAGGTATTTCGTACAGTAAGCAATGATAACTTCTTTTTCCCTCTGTATAGTGCTGTTCTTTCTGAAACTTGTATTTGATTTTTTGGTAGCTGTTTTTGCAGAGATTAATGCTGCTTTATATTGTTTTGTAGCTGTTGGTAGTGTGAATCTGTTTTGATCTTACTAATAATCTAGAATAGCCTGTATATTGTATATATCTATACTTATTTGGTTAAAATAAATCTTTTGAATACCACATAAGCTTTTTTTTTGTCCCCCCATAATTCCAAAATTGGTCTGACTATAGCCACTAGGCGTTAATGATAGGTATTTGGTAACTAATAACTATAGTAATCTGGATTTTGTTGAATCTGTTGAATAGATGTGCCTTGATTTAGTTAACCGTTTCTTTGTTTTAAACATTTAGATTGTTTATTTTTTATATTGTAAATAATGCTTTGCTTGGAATGCCCTTTTATCACTGCCTGGAAAATTTTTAAACAAACTTCATATCCAAGACATAGTGCTTGGAGGGGTTTAAAGCTGTTTTAAAATATTTTGTTCATAGCAAGGGACAGTAGTTCTGCCTCGCTTTCTGAGTTCCCACAATGCACTTGGCTTCTTGTTACCTCCCTCATGTAGGGTATTTTTAGTCCCCCTTACTCTGTAAGAAGGAACCCTGGTGGCACGACTGTTAAGTGCTCAGCTGTTAACTGAAAAGTTGGTGGTTTGAACCTACCCAGCAGTTCTGTGGGAAAAAAGACCTAGTGATCTACTCCTGTAAAGATTACAGCCTAGAAAACCTTGAGGGGCAGTTCTGCTCTGTCACATGAGGTCGCTCTGTGTTGAAGATCGACTTGATGGCACATAAAAGCAACAACAACTCTGTAAGAATGTGGTTGCCCCTTCCTGTTTTAGGTACTAGAACCTTGTATACTCTGTGTGTTTTATTCTTTTGTCCACTGAATTAAGTTATCTTTTTCTGCTTTTTTAATATTTAATTTTTTTATCTGTCATTAATTTATGATTGGAGCAGAGGTGGGTGATATTTTGTCAGACTTATTTATTTTTCTTTAAATACAGTGCTCTTATTTCTGTGCTATCTCCTTTTATACATTTTTTGTTTTTTCCATGTAGTTGGAATGACTGCCATTCTCTTAAATTTAACTTTTCCTTTAAGGAATATATATATTTTTTCAATTACCCCAAACTAGCATTGCTGTCTTCTTTCTCAGAATTTTAATTGCGTTCAGAATCCCTCTGCAAAGTTTGGGGATCCCTAAGACCACACTTACACATTCAGAGGTCCCCATGACTGCCCTCAGGTTCAGTAATTTGCTAAGAGCCATAGAACTCACTGAAAGCTTTTATACTTGTGGTCACAGTTTATTGCAGTGAAAGGCTACAGATTGAAATCAGCCAAGGGAGGAGGTGCATAGGGCAGAGTGCATGAGAGTTCCAAGCATGGAGCTTCCATTTGTCCTCTTCCAGTGGAGTTGTGCAGATAGTGTTTACTTCTCCCAGTGACAATGTGAGACAGTACACATGAAGTATTGTCAGCCTCATCAGAGCCTTAGTGTCCAGAGTTTTCGTTGTGGTTGGGTCACATAGACATGATTGACCACCATGTGACTGATCTTAGTCTCTAGCCCCTCCAGTTGGTGAGCTGGCACTGCATGACCCAAGACCACCCACCATAAATAATATAGTCAAGCATGGACTGTCTGGTGTGGCCCAACGTCCCTAGGTAACCAAAGACCCTCTTGACAGGCAGGACATTCAAAGAGTTTAGACATTACCTCCCAGGAGCTGGGGCAAAGAGCAAGGTTAATCCTTTACTGCACATGCTTAGTTCAGCATTTAATGTTTTTCAAGTTGTTTCCTACCTGTTTCTATATACAGTAGTTTCCTCAGTCCGACTGTATTCTGCTTGAAGTTATGGCCCCTTTTTCTCTCACGGTATCTTCATACTAGATATGATCCATTTGGCATCCGGGACCTTGCAGAGTGCTAGGTACTCCATGGAAGATGAGTAAATATTGAAAAACTTATTAAACAAAATGAATGTATTCTGTACTTCTTTGGTTACTGTAAAAGATTTCTAAATTTATGTGATAATTTCTCTATAAAAGCATAACTTTATAGATCTATATCTTCCTATTTTAAAATTTTAGCAGAAATTATTCTTCTACCATTGTTTATGCAAAATAAAACTTTTCTAAGTAAAAAATAATTCTTTTTATTGTTTCATCAGGGTTAATGTTATTATAATTGGTCTTCTCGTGGAAGTCATGGAATTTTTTTGGCTTAAGAACAGAAAAAAAAGTTCTTAGACAATTTAGCAATAATTGGGGACATCAAAAGTGCATATTTAATGATGGTTTCCTTGTTTTTCCTTTTACTAACCCCATGCCTCCTGAGCTTACTTACGTCTCTTTACTAGGATTATTACAAACAAATTTGAGGAAGGGTGCTTTTGGTGGTGATAATACGATTATGTAGAAGCACAATATTTTGAATTGACTATTTCTTGCCAGGCAGAATGAGTCTCAGGTAAAAAGTTACCTGGACTCTGGAAAAATAAAGAATATAGAAATGGGGAAAATGTAGTTCTTTGGAGTATAGTTTTTGTTTCCATTGCCTTTGGAGATGTGGTCACTAGTTTTTAAAATCATTGTGGTATAAAACTATTGAAATATTAATGAATTAAAACAGATTTTTAATTGTGCATAATGATTCTTTATAACCCCTTTTATAATGTCAAAACTCTTCTTGAACTTTTTCACCATTCACTTTTTGCTACATGCATAAATGAATTGTTAAATCCAGATAGCTGGCTTATCTTTATTAATGGATAAATTTATGTCTCTGCTATACCATTTTGGGAAAGAGTATGGCTCTTTTTAAAAAAAATTTAAGGAGGATAGCTGACTTAATACTTAAAACATGGAGATTTTGTGGACATTAACTGAACACAGTAAAAATGTGCTCTGGATAAGTTCAAAAGTTAGATTTGGGGGAAATGTAAAAGGAATTTGGATTATCCAGTTTGGAGAAGAATGCTTATCTTTAATATTTAAAAGAAAAACAAAAAACTTTTTAGTATAAAAGTAATTCAATGATAGTTTTAAAATTCTGGAAAAAAACGTAGTATAAACAAAAACTGAAAAACTAAAACCAAAACACCCATGATTCTGTCTTACTACAGAAATGATTATTTGCATTTTGGATTATTTCCTTTCAATATTTTTTCTTGTATAAATACATAATTGCAATCATAGTGTATATGTTTTTCCATTTTGCTATTCAGTTTTTATAACCATTGTTAGGAATTTCAGAGTAGTATCAGTTCATCCTCATTTGGCATTTGTATTTAATATTTAATAGTAGTGTTCAGGATGTTCCTATGTTGAGGCAAATGTGTAGTGAGTTGTTCTGATCTTGGATACTTGAGGTATATCTCAGTGGAGACACCTAGCAGACAAGCAGTATGAGTTAGTAATTAAGAGCCAGACTGTTCTAGCTAATTTCATCCTTCCTTCCATTTATTAACTGTGTGACTTTGGGCAAGTTACTTAGTCTATGCCTTAGTTCTCTCTTGTGTAAATGGGGATAACGATAGTATCTACCGTATACATTATTGATGAAGGCTATTGAGTCAGTCATTGTGCTCAGAATCTGTCTATTTACGCAGAGTTTTACCAGATTTCCAGTTCAGTTAAGTTCATCCCTGGGTGTTAATGAATGATACTGTGATGGAAAATGTTGCAGGTAAAAAAAGACCTTTTACTGTTTCTGAAAGGTCACAGCCTTGCAGACCCTACTGAGCACAGTTCTACTCTGCACACATGAGGTCGCCATGAGTTAGAATCTACTCGAGGGCAACTAACAACAACAATTTCCAAAAAATGTATTTTTGGTGGTAGAATATCAAGTATTGGAGACAAACTAGTAATGGTTGGTGCAGGTGATAGATGACTGAATGACACTCATAGTGTCATTATGTTTATAGTTTGGGCTGTGTTTGTCTTTTTAGCACCCCTCAAATCATTGCAGATTAGCTTAAGTAATAGAGATAGCAATGCAAGAGAAATCGGAAGATAAGCATTTTAATTCTGCTTCTTTCTGACATTTTACTTGAGCAAATCACTTAACCCTTTTGAATCTGTTTCCTCATCTATAAATATAAATAACATTTGCCCTCCCTCTCTTAGAGATGTCATGATGATTAAATGAAGTGTTTTGTGAAAGTAGATTGAAGACTGTAACACATTATATACAAATGTAAACTTTTAATTTATTTAAAAAGACTAACAGCAAGAGAATGCATATAGGGATCTTCGTACAGTGTTAGGTACAGTCAGTCTTCAGTAAAGAATAACTGCTAGTACTCTTCGTTATTATCATGAGGACATCTACTTATGTGTCAGGTTAACTCTTATAACTGTTTAGATTATTAAATGGTTTATGAATATATTGTAAATATCTGCTTTAATTATTATTTTCCCTCTTCTGTTTGTGTTTCAGACTCCTGGGAGAGTTGGCTCACAAGGTTCTGATTTAGATTCATCAGGAACTCCTGCAAACACAGTAGATGTCAATAATGAAAGCTCTTCAGAGGTATGAAAACAAAAATTTGGAAATGAAATTCAGTTTAAAGGAAAATAGCAAATATTTGGAGTAACAATTGGTAACTTAAACCTGTCTTTTGTAGAAAAAGTTTTCATAAGACTTGCAAATTGGAATGTGACTTTCGAATCATAGTTGCTTAATTATGAGAAAGTTTATATTAAGGCTGAAAAATAATATTGTCAGTTTTGTCTTTAGTGCTCATATCTCACTTAATGAAGACTTTTTTAGTCTGTTCATAAAGAATTACTGGTTCATTAGTATCTAGTTATGTGTGTGTACTGTGATGAGCTATTGAGTAAATGAAAAATTAGATTATCTACAAAATGTATATATTATTTCTTATCTTTTTTTTACAAATTTGTAAGAACTTTTATCTTTAATATTATTTATAAAATATTTTATAAATGCTAAAGTATTTATGAGGTATTTTTATTAGTAGGATCATTTTTATACTCTGTGCGATAGTTATTTTGTAGCCTTTTCTCTATCCTCAAATATTCCATGTCTCCTGTTCCCTTTTCACCTTCCCTCAGTCATATTTTATATCATTGAGAAAGTAGGAACCATCAGATGAATGTTTACCTGAAAGCTGTACTTGCACCTTTTTTGTCTTTCTTACTTTATTACATGGAAGACAGGTCCCTTTTCCAGTCAAAGATGAGTTCTTTCTCTTGTGCTCTGCATTACTCTGCCTACCTGTCAGATGGCATTTCATTTTACTTTCCCCTTGCTCACTGAACTTTGACCACTCTGGCCTTCTTTTTCTTCATTAAACAAGAAGACTCTAGTTCAGAGTCTTTTTACTTGCTTTACTTGTTCTCTCTGCCTAGAATAGTCTTCTCGGGTTCTTTGAATGGCTGGCTCCTTTCTTTAAAAATCCTGCAAATTTCAGGTCAGTTATCACCTCTTCAGAGAAGTTTTTCTGTCTAAAATACTTCAGAAATAATCTCCATCCATGCCTATTGGTAATGCCTTAGGTCAGACTGCCATCAACCATTAACCCTCACATAGATTATTGTAACTTCCCTCCTTTTCGCCAGTGTAAACCAGTCCTTGTCTTTCTCCTCCTCCATTTGAATCTATTTAAAAAAAATTTTTTTTTTTAATCAGGACTTGATAATGACACTTTCCTAGTCAAAACCTACATTAGTTAAAGGCTTCCAGTTGTCCTTAGAATAAGATCCAAACTCTTTAGCATGTTCTAGAAGGTTATATGTGTGTGTGTATGTTACCTCTAGCTTAATTTATCCTCATAGTCCTCTTTATTCTCTTTGATCCAGGCATATTGAACTCCTGCTTTTATAGTTTGTCTAGTTTTTTTCTTATTTCTGGGCTTTTGCATATGCTGATCCCTATGTCTTACCTGTTCTTGCTTTTCCTTTTATGCTTAAGTAGCATCTGAATATTATTTAAGTCTTATTGCATATACTGTTTTTTCCAGTAAACTTTTCTGACTCACATCTGGGATAGATGCTTTGCCCATGTGCTTCTTGGAACCATATTTCCTATTCTGTTGGTAATGATTATTATCCTGAAATTAATTCATTTGTCAAATATTTATTGTGTGCCAGACATTGTTTTGGATGCCATAGATACAACAGTCAATAAAATAGTAAAAAATCTTTAGCCTGGTGGAGGTTACATTCTAGTGGGTAGAAACAGGCACACGCACACACACACGCGCACACACACATACACACACACACACACACACACACACACAGAGACACACACACACAAAACAATAAAAATGTGCAGTGGTTGACAGTTGATGTTATTGAGAAAAATAAAGCAAAGAAAGGGAGATAGAAGGTGTTTTGGGTGGTTGTGATTTTAAGTACGGTTGTCAGGAAAGACTTCTCTGAGAAGGCGACAGCTCAGAAAAATCCGAAGGAAGTGAGGGAATGAGTCACGTAGATTTCTAGGGCAAGTGTGTTCAGGCATATGGAACAACAAGTACAAGGTCTCTGTGGCAGGAGCACGCCTGCCGTGTTGACAGAACAGCCAGGAAGCCAATGTGGCTCCACCACAGTGAGTGAGCGGAGATTGAGCCCAGCGTTTTGTACAGACTTAAGTTTTTACTCTTAATGAGATGGGAAACCATCGGGTGGTTCTGAAAAGGGAAGTTACAAAGGTTGATTTACATTTTTACAGGATCCACTTAGGCTGCTGTGTTGAAAATAGACTGTTAGTAGGGTAAGGACAGAACAGGGAGATGGTTAGGAGGGTATTGCAGTGCTCCATGTATGAGGTAAGGAATGTGGTGGTGAAGTGGTGAGATGCCCGTCTGCAATCAAAGGATCGGTGGTTCGAACTCACCAACTGCTCCACAGGAGAAAGATGTGGCAATCTGCTTCTGTAAAGTTTATAGCCGTGGAAACTCTATCGGACAGTTTTACCCTGTCCTAGAGGGTTGCTATGAGTCAGAATCGACTGGATGACAGTGGGTTTGGTTTTGGTTTATATGAGGTGATGGTGACTTGTGTAGGGTGGCATTGGTGGACCAACCAGTTGCCATAGAATCATTTCTGACTCATGGTGACCATGTGTGTCATAGGGTTTTTGATGTCTGATTTTCCAGAAGTAGATTAGTAGGCCTTTCTTCCCAGGTGCCTTTGGGTGGACTTGAATGTCCGGCCTATCAGTTAGCCGCTAAGCGTGTTAACCGTTTGCATCACCCAGGCACTCCTGGTAACAGTGGAGGTGCTAAGAAATAGTTGGATTCTAGATACATTTTGAAGGTAGACTAATAGTATTTTCTGATTCCCGCCCCCCCCCGAAAAAAAACCCAACATTCTTGTCGAGTTGATTGTGACTCATAGTGACCCTATGGGACAGAGCAGAACTGTCACATAGGGATTTCAAGGCTGTAAATCTTCACAGAAGCTTAACTTTTTATGCTACAAGGGAATATGGATTGCTTTAATCATGCATGTTGTAAACAAGGTTCAATAAGGAAAAAAGGCTCCTGGGAAGTCAGCTTGGTTTCTTTTATTGTTTGTGGCTGTCTTTTTGTGGATTTGTAAACATATATAAAAGTTTTAAGTTAATATTTTTGTATAAATTTTGTCATGAAATTTGAAATACGAGCTAATAGTATTTTATTTGAACATTTATATCTTTATTTTTTAGTTAAACGTTTATTAGTTAATGTTTTATTCATGAATTTAGGTTAAAATACTTCTTGTGTGTAAGCCATTACTGTCTTCACTTGAAAAAACACGGCATCAGAACCTGAATTTTCTAGTGTCTCAATCTTTGTTTTGACTTCCCCAGACCTGAGGGAGGTGAGAGAATGATACTCTCTTCAGTATCATTGGATCACCCAAGTAATGATTATCAGTACTTTAACAGTATTGTGGGGCTGGTGAATATCTAAGGCTGGGCTAAGAGTTAATGGCAGGGAATGTTGCCCATTTTTAGGCTGGAAAAAGTCTCTCAGATGATTCTGATAGTCTTTTTCCTTCGAGAATCACTATGATATACTAAAAATAAAGAGAAACAGAACTCGTAATTCTATTACAAGTCTTATAAAAGAATGAAACTTTTTGTACCATGAAAGACCAAAAATAAGGCTTTTACTTTTTTCTGAGTCAATTTTGTATATAAGAAAACTATCTTATGAACACTCATTTAAATTATTTATGGAGTATGTCTTATGTGTCAGGCATTTTCGTAAGTGAAGGAGATAAAAAGATGAATGAGATCTTATCTCTGTCCTAGGAAGTTTCTATGATAGATATTATTTGCCTGATAAGGTAGAAGCACAAAGAGTGCAGTGGTTAATTCAACATGAGGGGAACTCAGGAAAAATTTTATTTACCTAAGAGTTGTTCTTTTAACTGAAAGGAAACTTCCTACAACAGGATTACCGTAAGTGTTAAGTTAAGGTAAATTTATAGCTGCAGTGGCTTTGAGAAAGGATTACAGTTAATTGAACTCCAAGAATAAGGAATTTATTGCTTCTAATCTTAAGTAATCTTTTTTTTTGAAAGTTGGTGAGAAATTTAAAATGATTAAGAGAAGTAAATTCAGCTGGCTATTTTTAGTGTTTGCTAACAGTACTTCTCTGGAAATTATCTATCTAGCAACTTCAGTCCCCTGGAAGATAATTTGGAAAAAATAGAAAAGGTGTTTCTTAATATCTAGATTTTGTATCTAGAACTACAGATGGAACATCCTTTAGGCACTCATGCAGAGTGTCTGAACATGGACATTTGCAGTGAGGATGGTGGGAAGGCAAAATGTGTAGTCTTAGTGTTTTATTAGAAATGAGACAGATGGAGGAGTAGTTTATCATAACTCTTAGGTGACTAGTGTGTGTGCAGGATCGATGGTGGTGAGAAAAGGAGGTTTGGGGAATAAGTTCACTTTTGGATTTGTTGTATTTGGGATATAGGTAGGGGTGTCCCCCCACCTCCTGCACCTGCATTTCATTTTATTTTTGTATCTGTAATAGAGGAGCATTTTAGAATTGTAGTGTACTTGATGAAAGTGAAACAATTTTATTTCTTGTTACATTGAATTAGCAGAGTTGTAACTGGTAATATCTTTACCACATTAATATTATATCTTTGATTTAACCAATGAACCTAAATACTATTTAGAGTATGAAATGTTCCTGTACAACAGACTGCATGAGTATATTCTTGTGGACTGAGAAGAAAAACTAGGACTGGTATTGTTTCGAGGATTGACATCTGATATATTTTTTAAAAGTAAGATTTTGGAGTAAGGCCTTCTCTAAGCCCCTGGATGAGTGTGTGTTTAAAGAGTAATTTAAAGTTGAAAGAAATTTCTAATGGCATGTTAGGTTAGTTCTGCTGGAATAATATGTAATATTTTAAATACTGCTGACAATTTGAAGGACGTACAAGTTGAATAAAGAATTTTCTGTTGTACCAACAGACAATTGAGGCAAAAGCTGTTTTAGCCTTTGGTTTGCTAATTAATTTTGCAGTCAGATACCCACTCCATATAAGCTTTGATGTTATCTGGTTAATCATTAATTTACAGTTGCATGGAAAGTGGTATTTTTTGGTATATATTTTGCCTTTTCGGTTTTTTGAAGTCTGAGACTGTATTTTACCACTTTATATTTGCCAAAGAACTACTAAAGTGCTTGAAATTATAATCAATAAATATTTATTGAATAAAGTTACTAAACTTGTCAGATATCAGGTTGTATCTTAAGGAAGTCATTTTCAAGGGTATATCATTTATTCTGAGAGATAGTGTAGCACACTGGAAGGAATGTGAGATTTGTCCAGCAGACCTGTGCATATCTTGGCTCAGGTAGTTTTGTGACTTTGGGAAAGTCAGTTAAGTGTTCTGAGGTTCAATTTCTTCTTCTATAAGATGGAGATAATAATACCCGATAAAAAATTGTGCGATTTAACTGAGATTATGTAGAGAAAATATCTGACACATAGTATGGACTCAGTAAATGGTAGCTATTATTATTGTTCATTCCATTATTCCATTCTTTATCTAACAACACATGAGGTCTCATGAGTCATAATTGACTTGATGGCAATGAGTTTGGTTTTTGGTTTTATCTGTACTAGTGTTACTAAGATATTTTTGATGGCAATCACAGTAAGAGATACATTTGTTGTCATGACCCAAAACAAAAACTTATGAAACATTATTTATTCTTATTATATATGATGAGCTCTGATATATCAGTTGTGGTACCCTGGTGGCACAGTGGTTAAGAGCTTGGCTGCTAACTAAAAGGTTGGCAGTTCAGATCCACCAGCCGCTCCTTGGAAACCCTATGGGGTAGTTCTTCTCTGTTCTGTAGGGTTGCTGTGAGTCATAATTGACACGACAACAACGGGTTTGGTTTCTGGTTTAATGTATCAGCTGTAGGATATTTCTTTAAAAAAAAAAGAAGGGTTACAACCTAAGAAGTTAATTTTATAGATGAGTTACAATCTAAAATTTGTAAAACATAGATCTATACCAGTATCTTTAAAATAGTATTCTAGTTGGTATTTTTTAACAAAATGAGAATTCTGGGAATAATTATGTTTGCTGTATTTTATGGGACTGTACATTAATTTTAGGTTTTTACAGTGTTCATCTTATGTTAGCAAAGATGTTTATTGACTGGAATACTTCTCAATCATTGTAGATACCTGATATCTTTTGGTAGTTATTACTTCCTATGTTACATTTCCCCTCTTTAATCAGAATGCTTCATCTTCTTATTTTTTCTTGATAGCAGATTGGACAAGATACTAGTTTACTAGTGGGAGTATCTGGAGAGAGGGAGTATATGATGCAAAACTTAAACTTGTCTGAATTCTCAGATTAAAATTCTGTACTCTAGCCATTAATTTATTCTATCAAAAAATAGTTAGGATTTTCTTGATGTTTTGTAAACTTCAACCTGAGTAGATAGTGAAATACCTTTGCACAATATCAGAATTTGGAATTAACACCATAATTATAACTTACTTAATGACACCATTGGTGTGACTACACGTTTGACTTTATTTCATAATATGCAAATTGTTATTTTACAATATTAAATACCATTATGAAATCCTTCTCCACTTCTTTCTGTAGGGCTTCATATGTCCCCAGTGTATGAAATCTCTTGGATCTGCTGATGAACTTTTCAAACACTATGAAGCAGTTCATAATGCTGGTAATGATTCAAGTCATGGAGGAGAGGCTCATCTTGCTCTGAAGCGGTACAGAATAATGGTTTTTCATATAATGTTATGGAATTGTGTGTGTGATATTATTTAATCATGAATGATTCCTTTGTAAAAATAGCAGTATTTTTGTATTATTTAATTTAAAATTGTCCTCATTTGGCATGACCTTTCTCTGTTACTAAAACCTATTTAGTCCTATTTAGTCTGTGTTAGTATCTATGACATGGTACAGAGGATATGTTTGTGATGAAGATTGTGAGTTATCAATCAAAGGAAGGTTAAGTTATGTTTAGCTTATTCTGTATTATAATTCTAACTCATAGACAATGATATACTTTGTTTAGAAGATTTTATAATAAATTGCTATAATAATGCATTTTAGCTAGTAATTAAAATTTAATAGTTAATTTAAAATCTTTCATTTATAAACACCAGTAAGATAAGTGCATACACATTTGTGCTTCTTGCTGATTTTGCCTGACCATTTTGAAAATTTAAACTAAAATAAAAATACCTACAATAGCATTCAATAACTTTGCTTTTCTTCTATTTGTGAGAACTCTTCTTTTATTCCTCACTAAGGAATAAAGTTTAGTTTCATTCTGCTTATAAAAAAATACTTCTTTATACTTTTCTTAAAAAAATATTTCTTGGTTCTTTAATCTACTGTAAACACTGCTGTAAAAAAAGAACAACACATAAAAGAAAACTATTATGACCATATAACTTTGTGGTTGATAGATTTATTAGGCTTCATCAGAGAAACAGAACCTATGTATT